CAGGAGCCATTGGAGTTGCCATTCAGAAATCTGTCATCCCAGGTCTGAGAGACTTCCTGCTGGATCTCTCTCCCAGTGATGTAGCTGCCTCCTCAATGCTTACTGAGTTCTGGGAGGATGCATTCAACTGCAGCTTGAAAGAAAGTGAGGATTAAAAAATGTTTTGCATTTTTGCTATTATTTTTGTGCCATTTTACATTTAAAAGTTCCAAAACTCTTTTCAAATTAAGCAAAGACAGAAATAGTATTCCTAATGTTGACACAAAGTAAATTCCTAGCAACTAAAAAGAAGCTGTAAACTTCCCAAACACTTCAGTAGGCCTACACTTAGTCAGAAATGCTTGTGATAAAAAATGTTTATCTGTAAAAGTAGTAAGCACTTAACGATGATGATGAGAAATTTGAAAAATATATATAATTTCAGAATCACAAAATTCAGTTTTTTTTTCTTTTTTTGCTGTGAAGTTTGGATTAAGCAAGTATGCAATAAAAGGTCCACGACTGTTTAATGTTAAGACATGTTTTACTGTTTGTATCTAAGTAAAGATAACAGTTAGAAAATAATCTTAATTACTTAGGCTGAGTTTAAAGATGCAAAAATAAATATGTATTTGTTTTTATTATGACCCCTGCATGCAAAGCAGATATCATAGTGTGTTCATAGTTTTTATTTATTTATTTATTTATTTATTTATTTATTTATTTATTTATTTATTTATTTATTTATTTATTTAATTTTTCAATTTTCCAATTTTGTTGGTCAATTGTAGCATGACAATGGCTGCATCGATCAACTTGAAATTAGGTAGGAGTTTAGATGTGTCTGACCTACATTGCACCAGCCAACAATTTTACAATAGAACCCATATTTGAGGAGTGGGACACATCTGAATACAGGGTGTCTGGACATTTAAAAATGCTTACAACTCAAAATATATTCAGCATTAGGAGCTTCACATTATTATAATTTTTTGTTTGTTTTTTATGTTTTGTTCAGCTCTGATGAAGGGCTATTCGTTGGGCACAGCAATGAACCTCCCACCCTCCCGTACAACCTCCCAAAACAATAAATCTGTTCTGGTGAGTTCTGAGTTCTAGTGCATTGGTGCCTTGCGGGGCAGCATGATGGCTCAGTTGGTAGAGCTGATGCCTCTTAGCAAGAAGGTCACCAGATTAAATCCCATCGCGGGGGTCCTTCTGGGTAGAGTTTGCATGTTCTCTCCATGCATGCATGGATTTTCTCCTGGTACTCCAGCTTCCTCCCACAGACCAAAAACATGACTGTTAGGTTAATTGATAACTTTAAATTGTCCTTAGGTGTGAGTGAGAGAGTGAATGGTTATGTCTCGTTTGTCTCTGTGTCCCTGTGATGGACTGGAGACTTGTCCAGGGTACACCCAGCCCCTCGCACAGTGACTGCTCGATATGGACACCAGTGATCCCTGTGACCCTTAAAGGAAGAAGCGGGTATAGATGATGGATGGATGGATGGATGGATGGATGGATGGATGGATGGATGGATGGATGGATGGGTGGTACTTTGCGTACATGCGGGGGTCATATATGCTACCGATATGCGGTATCTAGTTTTAGTTGGGGAAGTGGTGGCACAGAGGATGGTGAAGGTGAGCCTGTCAAAGGAAATTCACTGGTTCAACTCCAGAGACGGAAAACAAAAATGTGGGTGGGAAACATTAATTTGCCTTACTCTGGGACCTTGAGCAAGGCCCTCAACCCCCTGTCTGCTCCCAAAGCACCCTATATGGCAACTCACAGCTTCACATGTGCAGTGGAAAAAATGTGGAGAACTAATTTCTCCAATGGAGGTGAAGTATAAAGAGTACATTTACTGTTTTACTTACATACAAAATAAATTTTCTTTAATCTTCCTGTTAAATTCTGTATTAGTTTGCATTTGCAGATGCTAAAATAAAACATGAAATCTAGGTTGTTTTTTATTGTTTGTTTTTGTCTTGACAGCTCAAACAATTTTATTTTATTCTCTTATCTTATTAGGTAATGATCAAAACAAAAGAGTATGTGATGGAACTGAAGATATAAAAACACTTAAAACCCCGTACACTGACACATCTCAGTTAAGAATTACTAACATGGTGTACAAGGCTGTTTATGCAGTAGCTCATGCCATTCACAATGCAGTGTGTGAGAATACAAATGGTACCACTCAGTGTGACAGATATGTCAGATTGGAGTCACAGGTCTGTTCATATAAAAAAAAACAAATCAAGGTTGTTCATAAGCTATAAATCTTGTGACCCAATGAATAAGCAAGATTGCTAATGTTTTCCCAACCATCATTTTTGTTTTTAAATTCACAGGTTTTTACTGAACTAAGGAAAGTGAATTT